GGAACTATTATATAAAGGAGATCTAAAAACAATCAGTTCTTTAACACCAATTTCTGAAAAGCAATGTCAAAAATTTGAAGAAAACTATCTCTGTTAAACACATTATAACTGAAAGGTTGTTAATAAAACTCATAATAAAATACATTAAATGAAATTAAATGAATACTATGCTCATTCGAAGCATAATATATATAAGCAACAAACAAAAAAAAAAGGGCAAACAAAAAACCAAAGATGCACTTATTAATTTACTTGTTTGATTTTGTAAAGTATTAGAACTTGACTCAACTACCAAAATATGCCATAGGTGTATAAAGTTTACAGATAGTGATTCAGATTATATCATGAATCATAATTATATTCAAGCAACTAAATGGCTTCCTCAAACAACAAACACTATACAAAAAAAAATTCAAAGTATCAAACCTTTTAAAGACTTAAGCAAGTCAATAAAATACAAATAATATAAAAAAATAGCAACATCTTTTTCAACTACATTTCATAATGAAATACAATCAGCATGTCATTTAAGTGATAAAGTAATTTGAAATGAAGTAATATTTTCAGCAAATAGTCAACAATTTTCAAGTTACATATAATAAACCAAATAATAAAAATCTAAAAAAGCTTGCTATTATACATACAATGGATGAAGGACATATTTCTCAAAATGTTTACCGAGCTATTACAGGAATTCAGCAAGATTATCTAAAGAATGAGCTATTTCTAAAACAAAGCGATAGATTGATGATCAAATGTAACAAATAATTTTAATTAAAAGTATTAACATCAATTTAGATATTTCACAAAAAATAATTTAGAGACAAATGAAAATATAGCAATAGATATTGATGATCCTGAAATTGTTGAAAATGTTACAGAATCAATAGGAAAGACAGTATATAGGTCATTAAAAGATATTTTATTATATATTATTCCTTCTTTAGTTCAAAAAAGAACTCTTCAATTATCAGATCCAACCTTATATATCCGAATTTCAGGAGATGATCGTAATGTTAGAAAAAAATAAAACATATAATAGTTACATTTGCATTACTTAATGATTTAAATACTATTTATTATTCTAAAAAGCACTATACTCTTTTAATATATCTTGGTATTAAAAAATATGCAACTTTAGCAATTGTATTAGCACTATTAATTCAGGAGTTAAGTGAGATTCAATCTGGTTATTTGAATAATGAAGGACATTATTGGAATATATGTTTATATTTTTCAGTCAATTAAAAATTTTTAGCAATTTGTTTGGAACATAAGATGGCCAATGCAGAAGATTTTTGTCTTTGGTGCTCAATTAAAAAAAAAACAAAATAGAATTAAAACATATAACTAGACTATATCTAAACGTATAGAGGATCTTAATATTAACTACTTCAAAATATTTGCCATAAAAGTAAACCTTTATTTTCTATAATTTTTCTAACTCATTGGGTTGTTGATAAACTTCATGTGATGTTACAAATAACAGACCAATTGTGGTTACTTTTAGTTTCAGAGGTTGGTGCCAAAAATAATTCTAAAGTTCGTACTATAATTAGCTAAGAAATGTTGTGAATTCATATTCATTTTGATTGGTGGGAAAATCCAAACACAAAAATGTGGATATCTACATCTTTAATAGGAGTAGACAAGCTAAAAGTATTACAAAATTTCAATTTAGAGTTGTTATTTTTAGATAAACATCATGCTTAGTTAATTCAACAATTATGAAATAATTTTAATGAACTCTATAAAGACATGTATAAACAACATATAGATGGTATTGAATTTAAAAAAAAGCATTAAATTAGATAGAGTTATTTCTAATACCATCTTCAGATAATTTTAATTTTTTATAAGTTTTTATTAATAATAAAATTTATATTTTTATTTTAATTTAGGCAATCCAAATCATTTACAAACCTTTATTCAAGGACTTAATCGGCCAAACGATATTACCCTCTATATCCATACTTTGATTTATCATATTTTAGAGTTTCTTAATATTCATTCAAATTTTGGTATACATGATTTTTCCTGTTCAGCAGTTAAAAAGAAAAATCACCAACATGTTATATACTTTTTTCAAAAAACTTTAAAAGACAAAGGGAAAGAGGATATATACAAATCAGCAATTGTTGAAATAATGGAATAGGAGAATAGAAATTTATATTTTTTGGTATATGACGTTCTTGTGTTCTTTGAAAAAATTACTTCTATTAATGTTATAATTTAATAATATAGATCTTTAATAAATTATAAGCATTACGATAATATGTAATAATATTGAAATTATGTTTAATTACTATTAGACAATACTTTGTATAATCTGGTAAGTAATTATTAGTTTATATGAAACTGTATATTCACGTTATAAACATTTACATTTATTTATTTATAATAAGTATAAGAACTATTAAGTTTGTCAGTTTATTTTAAAACAACAATTCAGATTCGTTAAATATTAACTATTAAACACGATTATTTGTGTTAATTTAGCAAGCTTAAAAAACAATTATTCGCATTAACTGGTAAGTATTAGGATATTTGTTAATCTATTTAAAATTACATTTTAAATTTATTTTTTGTTAAATATATATATATATATTTTTTTTTTTAACCTTCGCAATGTTATGTGAAGATGGATTTTTATTAAGTATTTTAGATAGTACATTATTGGTTAATGAGAATACATTCTAGTCATACCTGTGCCTTTTGAATGCCTAATTAAGTAGATACCTATTACTAGGGTCTATACTAGATGCTATACCTATAACCCACTATTATTTGAATTACCTATTTAAACTCTCTGATATCTCCCATCCTATACTATCTACCTTAATTATGCCAGTACATAACCTCATGCTGCTTCTTATTGAAAACTACCCAGATCAACATCTGCTATACTACTTGTGCTTTAATTTTATAGATAACCCAGTAGGGTTCTCATACTACCAGGTTGCTCTAGAGAGGGTGTAGTACATACCTCCTAATTTTTTTTATGTGCCACACACTTTCAGATTAGGCTACGAATACCTTCCGCAGCAGCTGAAACCACTACTAGCAATCAGGGTGAACCATTAAACTACACAATTCCAGTATCCAGTGCCCTTGCAAGATTTGTTCTGATCCCAATACCTACATCAAGCCGATCCTTATACTGATCTCTCTCCAATTACCAAACCAGTTAGTTCGGACAGGTCATTATACCTAGGCTTTAAATGCCTTTCAGTTTTACTTCTCTTGGTTCCTAATTCCATAGCATAAAACCTTTTCCTTCAGTGCGACTCTAGCTGCCAGGTTGGTGGACCCTTCTTGCCCTAGGGTTTTCGTCTAGTTCTTCGATCACCGGTTTTTGACTTTTCCACAGTATCATCAAAGATCTTCACTACCTCCTTACTCAGGTCTTGCCAAACGGGTTTCAATTATTCTGGTTCCTTGGATTTGGATCGCCCAAGAGCTTCCATTTCAAGATGATAGTACTAAGATTACAGGTAATATACTCAACCGATCGTCAAATAATTGTTACCAGTACACAGGCCTATTTTTCTAAAAATGTCTCTGGTGAGATTTGAACTCTAAACCTGCCGCTTGGGAGGTGACAACTTAACTACTACTCTAAGTCGCTACACCCTTTGTTAAATATATTTTAAACTATTTTATTTATATTAATATAGTATCATAAAATTTAAGTATAATCTACTTCTTAAACGGTTTTATTAATTTAGTAATTATGAAGATTATTTTATTTTTTATTTAAAATTAATGACTATTTTTAATTATATTTTATTTACTATCATACAGATTTTTTAAATAATTTCAGATATTGCTAAACAAATATATAAGATAGGTGTTTAAAAATAAAAAACAATTAAAATCTGTTAAAGATAAAAATTTAAATAGATAGCATAATATTGAATTTACTATAAAAATAGACAAAATTTTAGATCTACTAAATGAATATTCAGACAAAGATATATTAACTTTTTTTACAAAATGGTATTACTGATGATTATAGAGATGCTATTGTTATTGCTCTATTTTTGTATAACTAGGCTCAAGTTGGAGACCAGCAGAAAGGAGCAATAACTAGCAGTTTGATTTAAAGAACTAAAGCAGAGAGTAATATTTAAAAGGTATAGTTGTAATAGAATAATAGAAAATAGATAAAGTGGAGTATAACCTTATTAGATTCAAAGAAGTCTAAACTTAGTTCAAGTAATACAGTGAACACTATTAGACTCTGGAAATCCAAACCTTATACACTATAAAGATATCAAGAAATAACAAGAAAAATAACAAAAACTTAAAGAAAATGCTAATTTCTAAGAAGACAATAGTATTTTATTATTAGTAATCAAATTATGAGAACTTATATAAAGTTAATTGAGGAAGGGAGAAAAGGAAGGCTATTTATAATGTTTTGGAACTATGTGGATATTAATTTAACGTCTATCTATCATGTGACGCATATAAAGTTATATGGTACATTACCAAGTTCTAGAACATTTATCAAAAATTATTAATTACTAAAAATTTTACTATATTAATCGATCTAGCTTATTAAAACAAAAATATTCTATGACCCAAAATAGAGGGGGTTTGCTAATGCGCAGTAATAGATTTTTGCATTAGTTTTCAAGATATTAGCTTTCGAATATGAACATTCCCTATATTCACTCATTAATTACTAATATATATGATATAAATGATAATAAATAATAGTACTAATAATAATAATATATAATGATAATATAATAAAATATTGATAAGAATGCAATAAGAATACAATAAAATATAAAAAAAAAGAAATAAAAGAGAAAAATATTAAAATTCAATGAAATTTTAGAGTACTATACTATATTAACTTCTAATAAATTTTACTATTATATTTGCAATTTTCATATTTTTAACTGCAATTTATCTCTTAAAGTATTTGAAATATGCTGAAAGTGAAATTTAAGTAGATATAAAGTGTGATATTATTATAATCAGAAAAAAGTATTTTAGACAGCTTTGAAATCTGATGAAAATGAAAATACTACAACCTCACTATTTAATTAGTTATATTATTAAAATGGTAAATATTTAATTAAATAATTATAAAAACTATTGTTGGTATATTTAAAATCAATAATTTAAACTTATAAGCACTTATTACTAAATATTAATATAGTATACAAGTGTAATCAATTACTTTTCAGGCTATTAATTAAAATATAAATACGAAGATTATTTATTATTTGCTTATGATTAGATATTAGTATTAATTTGAACATGTAAAGATATTTATTATTAATTTATTTATTAATTATGATTTAGGCTTATAAGCACTTACAGCTATATAGTTTTGCCTGAATTATTTAGCAAGTTGATAGATTGTAATTTACTTAGAAATCAGAAATTCATCAAATAATAATTCATAGATCATCCTATTTATAAATAGGATATGCTACTGAAACAATAGTGTGTTACTAAAAGAAAAAAATTAAATTATATTTGAAATCCACTAAAGATAGATTTAAATAGATAACTAATATTGAGTTTTATTAAAAAATAATAAAAATTCAATTGGAAAATCTAATATTAGATGTTTATATTAATTTTAAATTAGTGTCTTGAAAGCATTGTGTAACTTTTGTTATAATAGCATTGCAAAATCAAATTAAAAAAGTAAAACGTCTTTTATATTAAAATAAATAAATAAATATAATTGATCTTCCTGCTACCTATTTCTAGATATCTACTTTATTCTGGACATTCATTGCCTGACAACCAATTTTAACAACAGTATTAAATAATTATATTTTAGAATACAGGTAGAATTATAGAACATTCAATAAAATAATTGTTGATAAAGCAGCTTTTAGAAATTGTACCAAATAAGCTTACAGAAAAATCATACAAAATTATTATCATAAATAGTCAGATAAAAGATCTAATATCAGATCCGCTATATATGAATTACAAAACTGCATCAATAAAAGATAATCTTTTTTCAAACATCTAAACTATTGTTAGCAATAAAAAATATATGTATTCCTTAAATTTCTCTTTTTAATGATATAAACTCCCAACCATGTACTATACCTAGGGTCTATTATAAGTTTAAAATCAGTGAAATATAAGAAACCCAGATCTTTTATCAGACCATTTATGGTACTAGATATATATAAAAAGGAATATGTCTGAATAAACTAATAAATTTATTGATTTGTTTAATTATAAATATATATACAATATAATATTTTAATATAAGCCCAAATAATCTAAACAATTAATTTAAAGAGATCTTGGAAGTTCTTTTTTATCATCTTCATCGGGAAATTTTTAAATAGAGTGGGCATCAATTACCAATGACAGGAACAATTGCTATCAATTAGAACAATGTTCTATAGTTTTATAAATAGCAACTTGATCAAAAATATCTATTTTATTAAATTCATCAATAGTGCAGATCTCCTAATTGAATGATAATGATTTATATGATATAGTCAATACAATTAATAAAATATTATATCATTGGTAATCGATAAATTTGTTAATTGATTGTTATCGCTAGTAATTGACAGGAATACTGTTTATCAATTACTATTTTTAAGTGTCAATCAATTACCAACCAATTTAAAATTTTCACGATGACTTGTAATAATCTGTTAGCAAAAATTTCTACCTGTTTTTTTAACTATAAGACTTTAGTGTAATGCTGATCTGATAATAATTAATTTAATAAATCTTATACTTGGCAATGTGTTATTATTAACTTGAATCTTACATATTAGTGAAAATTCAACTGCTGCATTATTATTAAAGGCTTCATTGTTAAAAAGTTTGGTATAGTAAAATAAACAGATTTGGTAGTATGCTATATTCCTTTATAAAAATAATTATTGTTATGAATGATAAACAAGACAATAATTATTTATCTAATATGAATTTATCCTTACCTTGTCATTTAAAGATATTGAACCTGATCTAGTGTAGATCATGGATCCAGGATGTAGGTGAGATTTTCCAGATCATGTGAATTTTGATCTCAAACCCAATACCAGAATTAATATTTTGTAATTAGCATTTGCATATATCATACAAAATGCTTAATTAGTGTTTATCTGTTCATTACACAAGATAACGATAATAATATATTATGTTTGTAACTTGTACTTGGTATCAATTAGTGGAGGGTTTCAAAATTAAAATCAGCAAATTTTTTTATTTTTCTGATTTACAATTCAAACATAGTAAAAAATACCATTAAAAAAATTTTTTTTATTTTTGAAATGCATCACTTATCATTATTTACTAATTTTGAACCTCCTAATATTGCAATTTATTTTTGCGAAAGATATACTTTTAAAAATTCATATACAGTATTTATGTACTATTTAATATTTTAATTGTTTAGAGATTTTATTAACTTGCTATTTTTTATTCTTTATTTTTAGATATTTTGCAAATTTACCAAAAAAAACTTAATGAGTACAAGACTCCAAAAATTCAATATACAAAACGTTAATGTGTGTAAAACAAAAAAAAATTTATTATACAAAAAAAATTAAATAAAGAAGTATTTAGATTACTGTAAAAACCCGTAATTTTTTTAATAAGTTTAGCTTGTTTTATTCTATTGCTAATTAAAATTTTTACTTTCTTTTTTTTTTGAGTAGAGTGGCTTATACAAATTATATATTCGAATTTTTATTGCAAATATAATGTCCAGGGTTTTGATCCTTGCTATGTTGGATTGCGCCTTCTTCTATTTTGCGCTGCTTCGATATCATTCAGCATTATGAACAATTTATCTATATTATTAACAACCCAGGTAATATGATTGAAATTATTTGTTAAAAGTTCCTGTTCTAAATGATTTGCCATATGTCTAATGGCTGCAACCTTTTTCTCGCATATCTAGTGCATTTCTGGATCAAATGCATCATCTCTTTCAACCAAATTATTGGCTGATTCTGGATCAAGTTCTCCATCTTGATTCATCTCGATTAAATTATTATTTAATTCAACTTGAGAAGCTAGTGAAATCATAGATTGTTGGGGATTAATTTCTGTTAACATATGTTCGTTAGTATTCCAAATTAAAAAAAAATAATTCTCTCTTCGTTGAAAGTTTTTATATAAAAGCCAGATGCCTTCTGGATTTTGCAGTCTCGTCATGATTGTTGTACATTGTACCAAGTGTTTACAAATGAGAAAACAGGAATTAAGAAATAATGGGCAGCTATATATTCAATGTGCAGAATCAATAAAATAACGAGTATGATCATTATTACCAATTGGTTTTGTAGCAAGCCGATTTCAATCTTTCTTGAAATCTTCGAACCAAGATGATGTTATTTGTCTCTCATTCATTTGATAAAGACGAATTAGTTGATCATGAAGGAGGCATATACAAATAATCTATACAACATAATCAAGTCGTAACCTGTTGAAGCAGTAAAGGCAGCAGCATTTTACAACTCTCCAATGTGATTCTATTAACATATTTGTCTTGTTAATTGGGATAGTTATTTGTGCTGATTGAGCCTACAGTATTCACCTTGTAATCTTATACTACCCAGACTATAAGTATGCCCAAAGAAGCACAAGGTAGTTTTCGAAGCAGAAATTGTACATTTCACAAATGACGCTAATACAAATTTCATTAACTGTTAAATACAGACTAGAAGTATTAACTGGTATTTTTTGATGCATATTAAAATGTTTTTTGATAAGATTAATGACTTCATCCTGTAGCTCTACTGGACATATAATATAATATTTAGGGTCAGTTCGATTTAAATTGAGCTTGAAGGTGAGATTAATAAAACTAAACTCTTTAACTGCTTCATTAGGTTGATACTGTGTTTGTTTTATTTTTTTACAACTTCTAATTTTTTTTTTTATTGCCTTTTTTATATACCATAAGCAGAGTTGCACATTAACATTAGGCTATACTTCTTTTGCAGCACTAATCTGAGCAAAATCTTTGTCAATAAAGAAATACTGTGGCTGCAATTCTTTATTGCAAAGAGAATGAAGAAAACTGGCAAATGCTTTCGTTTGCAATTCTATTTGAGCACTATTAAATGCATTTGTAGTGTTTAACATTAGATATGCGATTAGAAATCCTGCGCTATGAATACTACCAATTATCCCATAAAGCTCAAACCATCCTTTAGCAGTTTTATATGTAGTATCACAATGAATACTAGAAATGGGTAAGAGTTTAGTTAGTAGTGGAGTGATGAATCTAATTGCTGTTACTAAATTATCATTCCACTTATAATACAATTCACTATTATTATCAGGATTGTTTAAAAAATGGCATGTGAAAATAAAAAGATCTTTGTCTAATTTGAAAAAGCATTGATTAAACATTAATCACCAATAATTAATTTGTTTTGGAGTAACTTGTAAGGCATCAAATTTTTGACAGATATGCATTCGTAGCTGCACTGGATCTATGTGAAGGTTCTGTATAATTTTATATTTTATTTCCTCTGGAGTTGAAACGTCTATAGGCTTTTCATGTTGAATGTTATGAATAAGTTTTACTTTTACTTCCTTTATTGTTGTATCGATACCGATGATTAGCTTGCCATGACAATCAAAACGAACCATCCTTTTACGGTTTGATTCTTTATAATCACGTTCTAATTCACGACACTGAGAGCAAGCAAGAAAGAATTTACCAACCCCAGAATGGCGCACAAATTTGGTAAGTCCAGTTGTAAATCTATTAATATGAAAAATGATTAATTTAATGGTTTGATTTTGTGGTTTAAATTGAAATTTACTTACGTCCAACGATACCCATCCCCTTCTTCAATTTCGTCAACAATTAATTTCGCCAAAAGTTTTATATTATGATTCGTATTTGTCAGTACATTATCATCAAGTTTAATACACAAATTAAAAGAAATGCCAAAATCATTCTCAAGGTTAGTAATTTTATTAGAAATATATTCTATAATATTAGTAAAGGTGATTTCTTCTATATCATTTTCTAATTGACTTTCTGTTTAATTATTCATGCTTTCAAAGTCATTATCAGATAGAAGAGATTGTTTCTCCACTCTCTTGTTGGACTTTGTAGTTAAGCAATTAAAGCATGTTTTATAAGATTTGTTATTATAGATAAAGGCTTCTAGAGACAATGAGCATTTGCATGTACTACATGTTTTTTATCTATATTTGCTGTTAAAAACAAAAATAGAGCAAATTATTATTAATTTTTTATTTTATTAGCAAGTTTATTTTTTTAAGCAGTATTATACATGCCACCGAAATAGGTTTTCAAAAAACCCCTATTTCGTCTCCATTAAAGCAATTTGGAATTTTTTATATGCAATAGCAAATCTAATTTAGGTAGTTATGTTCCTTATAATTTTGTCTCTTTAAAAAAAGTATCAAAAAATTTCGTCTTTTAAGTAAAATAGGTCAAAAACAATTTCGTCTTCAAATTTTAATTTCATACCCCGAAACCTAAAATAATTTTGTCAGCATGTATAAACAGTATATTTAGTGAAATAATAATTCGAGAAATATGGGCTAAATTCTTAAAGATAAAATCGTTTTCTTTTTATATATATTTTTTTAAATTGTATATTAGCATATTTTTAACAATAATTATATATAATAATTTGTATAGCTTCCACTTGGTCCAAAAACATCCTATTACAAATATTTGTATAGATTTTATATAGCATATATTACACGTAAAGGTTGTATCTGGGTAGACATTTTTAATATATAGCATAATAAATTACCTGGATAACTGGGTAATTTAATAATACTCAGGTAGAAATTTTCTTGACAGGTACAATCTCTAATTACACGATTTTTTTATTATGTGGTATATTATATACGAGGCAATTTAAAATAGATACACATCTCAGCTTGTTGTATTATACTCATGCAAAATAGCATTATGTGTAAATAATATTTTGAAAAAATTGTTATAATATGGCCACATAGTATTTAGAGTGCTTATTGTTCTTACGCGTTTATGATATGTGAAATTTTTACAAAAACTTGTGAGCTATGTGACAGAGCTCAAGTTAAGAAGGCCTGACCTATACAAGACCAACAAGTGTATTACTTGTCAAGAAAAACCAGAAACAATAGACCATTTAACAAGCTGCAAAGATTATTAAGGCATATGGAGCATAATAGAAGAAGAAACATGAGATCTATAACAATTTCAACGTGAAGGTCATTTGGTCATTAAGCGTACAATGTGCAAAATACATCTCAGAATCATGCATCTAAGCCATAATGTGCAAGTGCACGAAAAATTCTACTAAGCACATAAATGTACAAGGCAAGCAAGAATTCGGTGCCAGGTTTTGACGATCATGATTGTCAAAACCTGGCACAGTATTCTTGCTTGTATGCGCAAGTGTATAAAGAAAGAAGTTTGTATAATTGGTATCAATAGAAATTCGAATACAGAAGAACTGATCGCATAAGTTGAACATAATTATCAGAAATCACAATTAAATTTGAAGAATTCATTATTCTGGAAAATTGGTGAAGTTATGCATCGATCTAATGCAAATTTAAAAGGTAGCATTTTTCAAATTCATATATTTTCTATTTCTAATGATTTACATTAATTTGTCTCTTTTTAATATTTTACGAGACTTAGGATATATGAATACGTTCTTAACTAGCAAACTAATTGTTCTACTATGTGTGCAATCATGACATTAATTATATTTATTGTTAGTTTGATGGCTGTTATATTTGAGTAATATAAAATAGAAATCAGACTTTGGCTATTAAATTTATAGCTTTCTGAATTCATTTTATCAGATTTTTTAGGACTTGAGCTGATAATTTATAAATTTAAAAAGCCAAGTCTGGTTTTATTTTGGCGTTATACATTCTTTTCATGCTAATAGTTGTTTTAAAAAAAAAATTGTTTATGTATAGGATTCTATTGTCTTGGTTATAATCAAAGTTTCTCATTCATGCTATACAACAATTAGACTAGAAATCGAAATTTTAAGGATTATTTGTGTTATTATACTTGGACGTTTCTAAAATGTAAATATAAAATAATTATTATATTTAAATACTGTATTAATAATTTAACTTTATTATTAATTCACATTAAAAATTTCTTAGGCAATCTCAAGACCGATATACGTAGTGAATAGTTTTTGCATCTGTATTAAGTAGTTATGATTTGAAAACATAATAAACTATTAAATTTATATAACAGAAATGGACTTGGTAGATTTATTTTTTATCAAATTTGACAAGTTATTAGTTTTGACTGGATCAGTTTTGTGAGGTTCAACTGTATTTCATTTACTAGCTTATTAGGCAAGTGCCGAGTATTTACTGATTAATATTTATTTATCAAAGGTCATGAATACTATTATTATACAATAAATCTTACTTGGTTAGGTATGTATAGAAGGTCATTTATTAGTTGTATGTTTAAAATAATCGATTTATGCTTATTAATTTTTTATGACATTTTTTTTGTTTAATTTTAGTTGTAATAATCTAGTTAGGTGTGTATAAACAATTATTTATATTGGATTTAAAATTATCTAAAGTTTTACAAATATTAATTTTTTAATTTGTATTAATTTAATAGATAGTTTAAAGATCATTTATTAGCCAACACATTGTTCTAAGTAATTTTATTTATTCATATTTGTATTAAACAAATTTCTCGATTAATCTCATTGTTTGTGTTAAATGTATAGGTATAGAAAATAACTAATGTATTTAAAAAATAACTACTTATTTTAAAAATCTTTATTTTATTTAATTCTATTTCTTGATGTATCAAGCAAAAACTTGATATTCATTAATTTGAATATCAAATGATCAGTTATCTGCTATAGATATATATGCATATCCATATATATAATCGATATGATCCATGATCGTTTAATATCTAATTAAACAAGTCAAATTTTTGCTAAGCACTACTCAATTCTCATTAGCCTAGGAGTTAAGTATTTTCTGTGTGTTTAAAACAAGTTATTTAAGCTCATGAAGATTTATATCTTAATTAATTCTTGTTTATTTGAAGATCATTTTTAATTGGTATT